AGACTGAGCTAGGAGAATAGCTATGAGTATGAGCTGCGTAGCAAGACCCTGTACCAAATAAATAAATAAATAAATAAATAAATAAATAAATAAATAAAATTTTTAAAATGAGTGGAAAGAAAGAAAAGAAACTATCTCAGCTACAGTTGCTTTGTTTGTTGTTTTTGAGACAAGTTCTCACTACATCCAGGCTGGCCTTGAACTCCAGGGTGACCTGGAAACTGCACTCCATTTATCTGTTTCCCAAGTGCTAGGATTACAATCATAGGCCACCATCCATAGCTGCTTAAAAACAGAATTTTTCTTATTAAAAAAGTGAATACCTGATCTCTGAAGCTCACCAGACATGGGCTGGACAACTGCCAAAGGGGAGGGATATTCCAGGGAGGACTCAAAGACTACAGGAAGCGTTGTATAGAATATCTCTTCAGACCTAAGATTCTAGGGTTCTATTTCCAGTTTTTATCAATTATAGATGTGCCCACTGGAGAGATGGCTCAGTAGAATAAGTGTTTGGCTGGCAAGTGCAAGGGCCTGAGTTCAATCCCCAGTTCTGAAAAAAAAAATATAGATAGATAGATAGATAGATAGATAGATAGATAGATAGATAGATAGATGGATAGATAGATGTGCCCACTTAGAAAAACAAAATAAAGGCCCAAATGTCCTGGACCTACAAATTAAATAGGGTTTTTTTTAATAACTGGCCACAGTAGATTTTTAAATGCTTACTTTCAAGTCATTAACTGCACAAAATTAAAAAAGAATCAAGACATTCCAAAACAGTGCTCAAGGAACCACTGTCAAACAAAAAGTCCCAACATGAAGGAAGATCTGCTGTCAGAAAAAAGGAAGCCAAGAATTCAGTTCACCCATGTGTTTCTCAAAAACATATATTCTTTTGAGATAAATTATCAAAATAGATTGGCTTCATAAAAGTCATGGCGTTCAGAAGCTTCACTGCCTTTCATTAAATCTCAAGGCTCCAACCACGCCATCCTCCAGGTAGTATCTGCAGCTAGACTCAACAGTTGGACAATTTCAGAGAAAGACAGGTAGAGGCTACCTTGGAATCTAGGGCAAGAAAAACAAACACTGTTGACCTGGCAATTATCCAGGATGTCACCCATTCCTTTTTCAAAACCCTTGTATTTTAACCAGTTTTCTGTTTTATAAATATTGCCACGACTCAACACATCTATGAGGAGATACAACATTACCCACAGCTCTCATTCTGTTTGCTAACTAACTATATCAACAACCTGAACCAACTTAACACTGTACAAAAACACAGCTGACTTAGCAATCTGTAAATTATACATGTACATAAATCTGTACAAAAATGCGCTATGTTTCACTCCTGTTGATGTGTATGGAGTCTTATTGGCACCTATAATTGCTTGATACAGGTTTCTGCACATAAAACATATGTTTTTCCTAGAATGGGACCATTTAGAGCAATATTTTTGTACTTTCTTGGCTCTAAGGTCTGCCAGCTGTCCTAAGACAGATCTCCTGTTTACTTCGGTGAGCACTCTGACAAGTGCCTGCAGATTTAAGCAACCATCAAAAAAATATTCTGAACAACACTTTCCAAATATGACTATGGAGAAACAGGCTGACTTTGCCTCTGTGGCAATGAAGTCAATAGGATTTTAAACAATCACTGATACCATCATAAGAAAAACCATTGTGTCTGCTGCCTACTTACAACAATCAAAAAGAAAATGATAATCACCAAATCTTTCCTTCAAGTAGCATTCAAAATGTATTTCAAAAACAGTTAAAATAGTTTCTAGAGCCAGCAAAAGCAGTAAGCATCTTAAGAATGTTTTTCAAATACAATGGCAGGCTGATGTGACAGTTGCAGCCACTTACTGTAGAATAGGCCCAAGATCCAGCAGGGTGGGACTTACTGTGAGGACGAAGGTGGTGGGTTTCTTGTTTTCCACTATTCCCCAATGTTCAATAAATGTGTTCAGTAAATTTTTGTTGAATAAGACAATAACATTCCTGGCTTGTCCCCATTCTACCTTTCCCTACCCTTTTCTAACTCTGCCTCTTATCAACTGTAGGTGAATCACTTAATTTTAGGGTTCTTAGTTCTTTAAATGGAGACACTGCCCCTCCTTTGCTGGCTCATGAGAATTAAAGGTGACAGACTATGGAAAGTGACTTGGGCCTTCAATGCAGAGCCCAGATGTGGAACATCCCCCATCTACTGCTTACTTCTGCTAAACCAATGATGAAGTGAAAAGATTAAAGTTTCTTGAAACATGATTGGCCTCTCTTTTGTCCTATTATTCTGTTTGAATATGGTAGTGTGGCCATTAGCCAAAATAGATGTTGTTCTTCTTGTTATAATATTCTGCTTAGTCTCCACTGGGAAATTATGCTTCTTTAGAGAAAATAATGGTAATACAAGGAATGCTGTTGCATGATACGTTACAAAGAACATGATGCTGGGGGTGTATCTGTTCTGTCCTTAAATATTTAAGGAAACTCACTTGCATCAATTTCTCTATACAATGATGGGGAAGAAGAGACAGACTCAATAGTATCTAAAGTCTATCTCATCCTACAGCTCTATTATATTCCAAATCCCAGATAGGCAACTCACTCCAAATAAGATCAGTTCTATTACTCATTAGCATATGAGGTATTTAAGGGATAGCAAAACAGTTCCACAGATCCAGGTACAAGGGTGGGAGAAAAAAAACACAGTGCTATAACAAGGATATGTGCGATCCTCAGAAAACTACAGCCTCAGGCACTATTTGCTCTGCCATTTTCACAAAGTCGTGTTATATTCCTAGGACTCAGTTTTCTGATCTGTAAGAGAGGAACAATAATACCAGGTAGGGCTGTTGTGGTAAAAATCTAATAGAAAGATTATGAAGTATTGCTCTTTAAAGGTAAAAGGCAATTTAAATGCTGTAATCTCCAAAAATAGGTTGGTGGATTTTAGAAGGAGACAATCAATATTTTTAAATAGACTTTTTCCATCACAGTAAAATAATGCATGTAGAGACTGTGATATTTCTTAGTGTTCACTTTTTTGTCCATTCACGTTCAGGGAAAATAATGAAAGGGATCACTAAAAAAATATAAATTCCCCATTTCAAGATGAGCATTTTTTATCTGAAATAATAATTATAAAAGTTCACCAAACTTGTCCAAGATGCTTTGTTTTGTTGCTGATTAGTTAACTGAAATCAAGCTGTTGGAACCTGGTGCTGAGATGAAAATTCCAGGGCTAAAAATACTCCCAGCCACTGACTCTATTGACACACTGTTTGTGAATATGAGGGGAAGGTGGCTGGAGGATCATCTACAGGGGAAGGTATCTGCTTGCTTGGCCCCAAAATCTCAAGGTCCTCTGGCAAACCCAAGAAGCCCTAAGACTGCTGCAGGTAGGGCTCTCTTCCTGCTCCTTCGATTCACAAACTCACACGGCACAAATTAGATTCAGAATGTCCCTTGAATGTAGAGAAACTATAGTGGATATTTACGTGAAAATTATGTCACCGACAATGAGATCCCAGAGTCTCAGCAGGCCAGCGACAATTACAATAACACACAGTAAGTCTTAAATGAGAAGTTTCTTTAAAACCTATAAACACCTCCTGCTTTCTTTATGGCGACATAAAGTTTATTGTGGCTGTTCCATTAGACACTATTACTCCCTTGCCTTCCCAGGTAATGACTGGGACCTTGCCTAAAAGCCACCTCGGCTCATTTGAATAAGGAAGACCTTGAGGGGAAAGATAACTGACCAGAAACCCTAACACTCTTATTCTTAAGAAACACAAATTTTTAAAATGATTATTTCCAAGAAAATATGTAGCAGATGATGATTTGCTATTTTAGCTGACATTCTTTTTTCTTGTAAGATAAACTTAAATCACTTTTCATTGGAGTATTTATTAGTAGTACAAGTTATTTTTCATGCCCTTCCCCTAACTTCCTAACTAAATCCAAATGGAAACTCATCATTTAAAACATCATCTCCTAAAGGTTTGGAAACTGTGATATTTACACATTATTAAAACCCACTTCCTGAGTTAGCTCCTCGCGCTCTCTTGGGAGAAGAATGTCACTGACTCTGGACCTGAGAAGGTCCAAGCGCCTGCCAGCGTCTCGGGCTGGGGTACCCCTCCTTGCACCAGCTGAAGAACGTGTGCAAGCTGCACTCTCAAAACAAGGACTGCTTTGCAAGTGCTTTCGCCCAGGTCGCTGCACTGTGGGACCAAAAGGCGTTTGAAATCGTTCGCTCTCTGCTCCTGCTCCCAGGACTCTGGTCTTTAAAAGGGCTTCATGCTGCTGTTGATCTTAGCCACAGGAAAACAGTGCTGACTACTGGCTGCCGGGCGAAGAATCGATCCATGAGTTTGGGGCTCCATGGGTGAGCAGGACTTCACATTGGCATTTGTACCTGTAACCATTTAGCTCACTCTGTCCCTCACTTCCCCCCAGTGCAGAAAAACCATTTGACCAGCCTGTGTCAACCTCGAAGGGGGTAGGTGGGCGAAGGTATGGGATGAAGCAGACACCCGGCCCACAGCATGTCCCCGGGTCCCCAAGTGTCTGCACCTCCGACTTCCAGCTGCGGGCGTGGACGCGTACACAGCCGCATCCCTGCACCTGAGCGGTCTGACCGAGTCGGCAGTGACTGGGGCCGGCTTCCCTGGCTAGTGGCGCCTGGGGCCGCTTCGCACGCAGTCCCAGACCCCGAGAGGGCGGCTAGCTGCGGGCACTTTCCCGGGACTTCGCACCGCTCCTTCGGAGGAGACGCTGCAGGGCGCCCTGGAGCTCCCCGACCCCGGGCAGGGGCGCCCCAGACTAGCCCGCCCTGCCCACCGCCCACCGGGAAAAGCGGCCTCGGACGCCCGCGCACCCCGGTGCTGCTGCATCTGTGGGGACCGAGCGGCGGGTGGTGCCTGCAATGAAAGCATTAAAATAAAAACCCTGTGAAACCGAAACCCGGACGCACCCCTTACCATTGGACCGCCGGACAATATTCTCCAGAAACGTGTTCTGCGGAGCCACCAGTCCCCTCCGGCCGCCGGCCATGGTCATCCTCCCGGCGGCTCTCACCACGGCAGGCAGCTAGGCGCGGGGCCCGCGCGCGATCTCGGCTCGCAGCGCCCCATGCACCCCCCGCGCTCCGGCCGCCACCGTGCGCCCTGCGCCCTCCTCCCGCCACCCGCCCGCCGCCCGCCACCCGCAGCCTGCGGGTGGGCGGGGGAGATGCGAGCGCAGATCGGTGGCGCCCCCTACCGGTGTCCCTACCTTGAGGCTGCGAAGACCCAACAGAAGCCCGGCAGGGCGGGAGGGGGCTGGCACAGCAGAACCCCCTACCCCCATCCCATCCCCATTCCGCCCCACCATCCCCACCCCTGTGTCCAGAACACGCAGGGCACTGCAGGAGCTGCACTTCGTGAATTCACCCTAGCAAGAACCCTGAGGTATGACACTGTGTTCCTGAGCTCTGCTCCAGACAGGCCGGGACCTCTGGAACACCTTCCGGCTCCACCACCCCAGCCCCCAAGGCTTGCAGGCTGATCAGTGCCAGGTTTGGTGTTTTACCAGTGATCAGTAAAGTTGTGGGAGAGCAGACTGATAGAGTGACTGACAGGCTCTGCTCCAGAGTGGGGACCTGAGTAAGACAACCTTAGGCACAATGGTGTCCTCTACCCAGCAAATACTTTAACATCATCTCATGACTAGCTTGTGAATTAGGAACAGGAATGAACCGCCTGAAAAACAATAAAGCCAAAACTGGCCTCCAAGTGAGTCTTGGGGCAGCTTCCTGAAGTGCTTCCCGAAACAGTTACACAGGCAAGGCTCAGCCTGGCATGAGGACCAGGGAGGCTCAAGGAACTGGCGCTTTGCACCATGCCTACCCCTAGTGGAGATCCTGGGCACCCACAGATTCGGGACATGAGCCAAGACCCTGCTCTCTTGTTCCAGAATCCTCACAACTGTCATTTTGCTACCATATGTGAATGCATGTGGGGAGAGACTAAGCCCCTGCCTCACAGAAGAGATAACACAGATCACGGGTCAACACAAAAGTGCAACTGACCCTGACCCCCACTTATCTCAGTCTACTGTCCTGACACATTCTAGTATGTTGCAAAGACACCCTATCTCAGTTTGTTCATCTCAGAAACAAAAATGAGTTCCTTGCCAGCAATGTCCCAGTCATTGTGAACATCAAAGGAGATCCTGTAGGGGAAAACACTTTAAATCTGAAGTACTACACCAAGGTCAGACATCATCATTCATGTGACTAACAAATTGGGCCATTACAAATACAGTGTCGCCCTCTGGCTACTCGCCTGGACATCAAGTAAGCAGATGTCTTCTGTAGCAGAGAGTTGGATGAGGCTGGCATAGGCTTTGAAATGGAAGCACTGCATCTCTTCCACAAGATAGCACTACCCATCCCATTAGGCGCCTGTTCAGAGATGGATTCCTGAAACCCTAGCTCCGTCTAGTGGCCCTTCCTTCTATTACAAATGAATAAGGGCTACTAGTTGAGAACTGGACTCAGAAGGGTGTTTCAAGCTGAGCTGAGCTAGTGTGGTGTCTACCCACTCCATCTGATTAAGTTTATTTGAATAGAACTCTTAGGAGAAACATGCCTGGGAAGATTTTTCTAGACAATGTTAAAGGGCTGACAAGATAGCCCCACGGACTAAGCACCTACCTGGCAAGTGAAGGGACCAGGATTTGATCACCAGCACCGCATGCCACACCAGGGCAACCCCAGGCACGGTGAGCAAGCCACCAAGACTGGGCATGGTGGCACATTCTTATAACCCCAGCAATGGGGAGACTGAAAACAGGAGGATCACTACCAGTCTGAGCTACACAGTGAGACCCTGCACCAAAGAGACGTTAAAAACTCATCAAGTAACCACATAATCCTGCTTATGAAAAGGAAGATTTTAAAAGAATGGGAGTGAAGTATCACAAAGTTAATAAAATTCTCAAATATCAATAAGCTCCCATATTCCATGGCTAAGATAAAAAAGAAACCAATAAGATTCACTTGAGGTGAGAAGTGTGAAAGTCTGACAGGCTACAGATAAGCAAAAGGGACCAGGAAACGCCTTCTGTTTGCAGTGTGCTGTGACCAGATCTCCACTGGAACTTCATATGTCTATGTGTATAGGTGCCCTTTGAAGATTGTAATTTTTAGTGGCACACTTGAAGAAATTAAAAGACCTAAACTTACAATAAAAGGCAGCTATCTACTCCTAGTATGACAGCGTTTGGGAGTCTGTGAAAGCATATACTTCTGATCTCCATTTGTCACCTGGCCCTCAACACATCTGACTATTGACATGGAGTCAGTTCCAGAATGTTCCATCCTTCCAGGTGCTGCTTATGTGGCTCTCTGCCCTGTCCCCTCTACAATCTCTTGACACCTACTCCACTTGAACTTCCTCTGACTGTCAGAGCAAACCTTAATCTTGTAACTTCACCAACATTTAGTGACAGATTTGTACAGGATTCACAATATACCACTGTGCCCTAGTGAACCAGTGCAGAGTCCCTGTACCAAGGATAACATAAGCTGCAAAACTCTCTCCAAATTGGTAGAGGAGTAAGATATTTTCATTATAAACAGCTCCTAAGTTCATGACCACCAAATCAGCACTCAAGAAATTCCAAAGGATATCTTAAAAAGAGGCAATAAGGAGTCCTAGCCCAGGTCCGGTGAGTGTGCAGAGAGTTTCCTGCTACCCTGCGCCTTCGGGACCAGTCCCAGCCCAGGCGCAGCGTGGGCCGGACCCTCTCCCAGCCCCTCGGGCCGCCCCCCACCACTCCG